AGGTGGGATCCACATGTGGACAGGGCCTTCCTTATTCCATGGGCAGATGGCAACTTCAGGATATTAGAGAAGATGTAAGCATATGAAACAAGGATACATGTGAATGGTGTCAGAAATATCATTCCACCCACAGTGAAGACCATCAATCATGGACAAAGGTATCAGAACAAGACATCTTTAGAATAGGGTAAGGGTCACAGAAGAAGTGGTGCACAGCATTGTTGGAACAAAATGCGAGTTGGGCCATGAATGGAAGAGTGTGCAGAAGAGCATGCAGGTTGGTGATGACCCACGATGTGGCCACTAGAAGGATGCAGAGTCTGGGCCTCATGCTCATGGTGTAGTGGAGCGGGCAGCAGATGGCTACATAATGGTCGTAGGCCATCACACTCACCGGGAAGCCGTCCATGTTGATGAAAGTGATGAAGAAGTAGATCTGGGTCATACAGCCCACGTAGGAGATAGGCTTGCTTCCCAACACGTGGTTCACCAGCATCTTGGGGATGGTGACTGATGAAAAGCAGATGTCAATGCAAGAGAGGTTGGCCAAGAAGAAGTACGTGGGTGTATGGAGATGACCGTCACAGTTGATGGCCAAGATGATGAGCATGTTCCCGATGATGGTGACCAGGTACATCCACAGGAACAGCCCAAAGAGGACCTCCTCCTGCTCTGCCTGCCCAGAGAGTCCCAGGAGAAAGAATTCTGTGACTCTAGTCTGGTTGCCTCCATCCATATCTGCTGGGAAGAAATTGTCATCATGGGATAAGATCATACGCCAACACCTGAGCAAATTTTATATTTTGAAAGAGTTTACACGTCAGTTAAAAATAAGCTAAAACTCTATGAGTAATTTTATGGAAAAAGCCTGGTTAATTTTGGTAGTGTTTTAGTGCTAATGGCTATTATAGTTTTCTTCTACTGCTATTTACCGAGTATCATATAAAAATACTTTAATGTACAGTATTTATTTATTTATTTATTTTTTAGACAGAGTCTTGTCTTGCTCTCTCACCCAGGCTGGAGTGCAGTGGCATGATCTCAGCTCACTGCAACCTCTGCCCCCTGGGTTCAAGCAATTCTCCTGCCTCCTGAGTAGCCAAGCGTGCACCACCACACCTAGCTAATTTTTTGTACTTTTAGTAGAGATGGGGTCTCACCGTGTGGGCCAGCCTGGTCTTGAACTCCTGACCTCAAGACTACCTTGGCCTCCTGAAGTGCTGGGATTATAGGTGTCAGCCACAGGGACCTGCCTAGTATTTAACTTAGTCTAATAATTGAGGTATTATATTTCATTTTATAGATGAAGAAAATGAGGATTGGGGTAGTTAGATGATTTATCCAAATTCACAGAGCCCATAAAAGTTAGAGTTCCAAATCAGCTAAAGTAGTTTTTCTTTATGCTATATTTTGATTAGCTATCATTTGCTGATTTTTTTTTTTTTTTAAACGGAGTCTTGTTCTGTCACCCAGGCTGTAGTGCAGTGGCATGATCTTGGCTCACAGCATCCTCCACTACCCGGGTTCAAGCGATTCCCCTGTCTCAGCCTCCTGAGTAGCTGGGACTATAGACGTGTGCCACTGCACTTGGCTAATTTTTTTGTATTTTTAGTAGAGATGGGGTTTCACCATGTTTGCCAGGAGGGTCTCGATCTCTTGACCTCGTGATCCATCTGCCTCGGCCTCCCAAAGTGCTGGGATTACAGGCGTGAGCCATAGTGCCTAGCCCATTTGCTGAAAATTTAGCCAAGTGGCAGACTCTAGTAAGTGCCATATGATAAACATGCAACTTTTATCTGTGGCTTTTATATTTCCCCAGAATTAGGAAAATTGTGTGGGCTTTGAAAGATTTGCTTGGTGGTTTGTCTTCAGCGTTTTAGCTGCCATGATGAGGCCTTCACTGTAGCTCATACCTGTTGGGTCTGCCTTCCTAAGCATGCTCTTCAGGTGGCTGTGTGGCATTCTTCCACTCTATTTCTGTTTTGTTTTGTTTTGTTTTTGATAGGATTTTGCTCTATCTCCCAGGCTGGAATGCAGTGGCACAACAAAGCTCACTGCAGCCTTGACCTCCCAGGCTCAAGCTGTCCTCCCACCTGAGCCTCCCAAGTAGCTGGGACCACAGGCACATGCCACTATGCCTGGCCTCACCTTTCTGCTAGTCAGAAGAGCAAAGGTCTTATACGGATTGTTTTTGCTATTGGATGAAAGATATTTACTGACTGATAAAAAGCAAGTTCATGTGGTACATCCAAGGATATTCCCAGGACTAAGAAATCATTACAGGCAGGGGTTAGATAAGGCACTGTGAATGCGATGCTGCTGGAAGAATTCTTGGCATTTTAACAGTAAAGGGGAGGAGGTGCATTCCCCAGGAGATCAAAGGACAGAAGAAAAGAGGCAAAAGAGAGCCAGACAACTGCTGTGTGACATGGCTTGGCCAGCTGGGCAGAGATATTGTATGGAATGATTTTAGCAGACAGGTTATGAAATATACATAATATGAGGTCAGTGAAGTGCTTAACACTGTGAGAATCGCATTAGTGAAATTAAAGGAAAAGTGCTCAGATGTGAAGCCACTTTTCACCTGGACGAGCTCCTACAATTAGGGCAAGTAGAGCAGTACTGGACAGAAGCCTGCGGATGCTCCAGAGGGAGTGTGGTTGGCCTGGACTGCAGAAGTCAAGGGGCAAAGGATTGCAGCAAAGCAAACAGGACACAGCCTTCACCAGCAGATGGGAGCGTTCTGCTCTTAAGGGCAGGTAGCTTCCTCTAGTAGAAACATGGGGAAACAACAAAAGAGGGATGACAGGATGCCAAGCGAGATGGTTACTATTGGTTTTAAATTGCTATTAAGACCAAAGGCTGAGAACACTACACTCTCTTGTTATGGAGCCTAGAGAGAGAGAACTGCCAACAGTGAGAGGGTCAGATATTGGAAAAAATATTATCATTTCATGCCGGAAACTCCAACAAGTTGAGATTCCTCAGGAGACTAGATACATAGTGATGAGTCATGCACCAATTCCTCTTACTCTGGTTGGACATTCACGCATCCCCCGGATTTGATTCCTTACAGGGCGAGTGCTCAACCAGTCCCCTTGACAATAATGTTCGCTTTGTGTGACTTAAATATGTTGACGTCTGCTTTCGTGCCTGAATCTCCTTGAGTCTGCTTGTGGGTGGCTGTGCCTGAGGCGTCTGGCATCTCTGTAGCATTGAGTGTTTGAAAACTAAGATCCTTAGTTTTCCTGGATCTTAAAACTAAGGCTGCTCAGGCCTTGGACCTCAGCCCAAGCCAACACCCCTCTGTGGGCTCTGCATGCATCCGAGTCACCTGCCATGAGTCACCTTTATTGTGCAGTCACTGACCATAGTGATGAACACAGAGAAGCAAGTGGCAGAAAGGTGGAAACTAGAGGCAGAATGGGAGGGCATGGGTGTCTGACAGAGCCTCTTTTTTGTGGTGAGGGTGGGTGGCTGTGGGCTGGGAGCTCCCAGCCCATGTTTTAGGAGCTCGCAGTGGCTGATCCTGGCACCACTAACCCTCACTGTCCCCTTCCTTTCCCACTGCCTTCCTCTCTATTTCCACCTTGGAAATGGGCTTGCCTGTTCTGCAGCGCAGGGCACATCTTGAAAGGGGAAAGCCTGGTACATGCCATCTAAGAGACAGTCCCCTCTTTGCACTTGGTTGGATGTGGAGGGGTTCACTGGGTCTGTTTTCCTAAATGTCGGTCCATATGTGTGTCTGTGGGGGTCTGTCTGTTGTTGGGGCTAACTGGGCCCTCACCTCCTTCCCCAGCCTGCCTTACCTGGCTGCTCTCTGTCGCTGTCAGATGCTTTCATGCAATTCCCATCTCTGTGGGCTCCACATTCGGCCCTGGATGATGGGAAAGCCACAGCTGGGGCTGAGCACTGAAGAACCTTTTCTCACTGGAGAATATTTAGAGTGAGACACTGTGGCTCTCCCAGGTTGGGTTTGGATAATTGGGCACAAATAAACAGATCCTCCATCCCTGGAGATGAGGGTTCCCTCCCATGGGGCCAGGGCACAAGAATTGCTAAGTTTGGGTGCCTCTAGGGCTGATTCCTCAGAGGTCCTCATTAGAGACACACAGACTGTGTTCTTGCTTGTACTCTGTCTGGGCACAGAAAATAGGAGTGAAACTCAGCTCTTGCACAAATACTTGTTCCACAAACTTGGACATTCAGCTTCCCTTCTCTTAGTCTGTTTACTGTCTAGGAAAACAGTGAGAGGAGCAGAGTGGTGGTTAACTTGGTGATGATAAAATACTTCATATCCCAAAAGGTGTTACTGTAACTATCACACACACACACACACACACACACACACACGGTGATTGCTCTTAGAACTAGAAGACAAATTTTACTAAATCTATGCTTTTAATGGAATACATTATGCATTTCTCAAATGGTAATTCCTTTAGTATTCCAAAAGAAATAGTGATGGGCCGAGCATAGCGGCTCATGCCTGTAATCCCAGCACTTTGGGAGGCCAAGGCAGGCAGATCATCTGAGGTCAGGAGCTCGAGACCAGCCTGACTAACATATAGAGAAACCCCACCTTTACTAAAGATACAAAAAATTAGCCAGACATGGTGGTGCATGCCTGTAATCCCAGCTACTCAGGAGGCTGAGGTAGAAGAATCGCTTGAACCTGGGAGGAGGAGGTTGCGGTGAGCAGAGATCACGCCAACTAAAAAAAAACAAAAACAAAAACAAAAACAGAAATACTAATGAGGAATTTAAATCCAAATTAAAAGTACAATCTCAAAAATTTAAATCTGCTAGGCATGGTGGTGTGCACCTGTAATCTCAGCTACTGAAAAGGCTGAAGCAGGAAGATTGTTTGAGCCCAGGAGTTGGAGGCTACAGTGACTTATGATTGTGCCACAGCACTCCGGCCTGAGCAAAAGTGAGACCCTGTCTCTAAAAATATAAAAATTAAAAATTAAAAAAATAAGCAAATAAACACCTACACAATTAGGCATATATACACATAATTGTACTATGTGTATATATAATTTCCCTTAAACCCAGGGAATATTAACTAATATTGAACACTTTTTTGGTTGTAATACAACCCTAAAAATTCCCTGATACATGGAATTTATTGACCACATTCTCTGTCCATAAAATAATAAAAGTAGAACCCAACAAATATAACATAGAAAATAAATAGTTTTTGTCAGATTTTTAAAAATCGAGGTGTATTTTATATACAGTAAAAATTATCTTTCTTATTGTATAGTTCTATGAATTTTGACAAATGCATTCAGTATTGTAACCAGGTTCAAAAATTGAGAAATCAAATAGTATGATCAGTCACCTCAAAAACTTTTCCTGGCTGGGCATGGTGTAATGCTTCCTGGTTCATGCTTGTAATCTCAGAACTTTGTGAGGCGGAGGCGGTGCGATCACTCAAGGTTAGGAGTTCAAGACCAGACTGGCAAATATAGTGAAACCTTGGGTCTACTAAACATACAAAAATTAGCCCGACATGGGGGCTTGCATATCATCCCAGCTACTCAAGAGTCTGAGGCAGGAGAATCACTTGAACCCAGGAGGCAGAGTTTGCAGTGAGCTGAGATCGAGCCACTATACTTAAACCTGGGTGACTGAGCGAGACACAACGAAGGGCACAGTGGCTCATGCCTGTAAATCCCAGCACTTCGGGAGGCTAAGGCAGGCAATCACCTGAGGTCAGGAGTTCGAGACCAGCTTGGTCAACATGGCAAAACCTCGTCTCTACTAAAAATACAAAAATTACCTGGGTGTGGTGGCACGTGCCTGTAATCCCAACTACTCAGGAGGCTGAGACAGGAGAATCGCTTGAATCCGGGAGGCAGTGAGCCGAGATTGCACCACTGCACTCCAGCTGGGGCAACAAGAGCAAAAATCCATCTCAAAAAAAAAAAAAAATCTAACAACAACAAAACTTTTCTAAGGCTCCTTTATAGTTAACCTTAATCTGAACTCCAGCCTTGAGCAATCACTAAGATTTGTGATCATTAGTGTTCTCATGGGCTGGGCGCAGTGGCTCACATCTGTAATCCCAGCACTTCGGGAGGCCGAGGTGGGTGGATCACAAGGTCAGGAGATGGAGACAATTCTTGCAAACATGGTGAAACCCTGTCTCTACTAAAATACAAAAAATTAGCCGGGCTTGGTGGCGAATGCCTGTAATCCCAGCTACTTGGGAGGCTGAGGCAGAAGAATTGCTTGAGCCGGGGAGGCAGAGGTTGCAGTGAGCCAAGATTGTGCCACTGCACTCCAGCCTGGTGATAAATCGAGACTCCATCTCAAAAAAAAGAAAAAAAAAAAAATAGTGTACTCATTTTGGCCAGGTGCAGTGGCTCATACCTGTAATCTCAGCACTTTGGGAGGCCGAGGTCAGGAGTTAGAGACCAGCCTGGCCAACATGGTGAAACCCTGTCTCTACTAAAAATACAAAAATTAGTCGAGCATGGGGGCAGTTGCCTGTAATCCCAGCTATTCGGGACACTGAGGCAGGAGAATCACTTGAACACAGGAAGCAGAGGCTGCAGTGAGCCGAGATAGTGCACTGCACTCCAGCCTGGGGTTTCAAAAAAAAAAAAAAAAAATAGCGTACTCATTTTTATTGTTGAGTATTATTTTTTTTACATAAAATTCTATTGATGTACTATCATTTGTTAATCCATTCATCTGTTCAAGGACTTTTGTGCTGTTTCCAGTTCAGTGGATTATGAATAAAGCCACTATAGCCAATTGCATACAGGGTTTTGTGAACACTACCTTCTATTTTACTTGGATACATAAGTAGAAGTGGGATTGCAGGGGGGTCCTATGGTAAGCGTTATGGACTGACTGTGTCCCCCCGAATTTATCTGTTGAATCCTTAATTCCCAGTGCGGCTTTGTTTGGACTTAGACCCCTTAAAGAAGCAATTAAGGTTAAGTAAGTTTATAAGGGTGGGGACCTGATCCAATAGGATTAGTGTCCTTACAAGAAGAGGCCTTGGAGTTTGCTCTTGCTCTTCTTTTTCTTGAGACAGGCACAAGGAAAGGTCATGTGAGAACGTAGCAGGAAGGTGGTTGTCTACAAGCCAGGAAGGGAGCCCTCACCAGAAACAGAATAGGTCAAAACCTAGATCTTGCATTTCTAGCCTCCAGACCCATGAGAAAATAAACTTCCATTGTTTAAGCTACCCAGTCTATAGTATTTTGTTATAGCAACCTGAGCTGATCAATGTAGTAAGTGTATTTTTAACTTTATAAGAAATTGACAAAATAGTTGCACCATTTTGCTTTCTTAGCAGCAGTGCATCAGTTTCCATTTCCCTACACATCCATGATATTTTCTGGGCTTCAGAAGAGCCATTCTAATAGGGATATAGTGTTATTTCATTGTGATTTCCATTTGCATTTCTCAAGACTAAATAAGTTGAGCATCTTTTTATTCACTAATTTTCTTTGGTAAAGCATCTGTTCAAATCTTTTACCCAATCGTAAAATTGGGCTGTTTTCTTATTTTCAAATTTTTTATTGTCAAACTTTGTGTATTCTGGCTACCAATTTATCAGATACAGCATTTGCAAATAATTGTATTAATCTGTGGCTTGTCTTTTCACTTTCTAAACAGCATTTTTAAAGAGAAATTGTTTTAAATTTTGCTGAACTCTAATTTGTAATTTAGAAGAAATGTTTATGGATCATTCTTTTGTTGTTGTACCTGTAAAATCTTTGCCTCACTCAAGATTGCAAAGATTCTATATTTTCTCCTAGAAATTCACAGTTTTAAGTTTTACATTTATGTTCATGGTTCATTTTGAGTTAATTTTGTATACAGTGTGAGGTATGGTGGTTTAATACTTTCAGTATAGTGATTTAATTATCGCATTACTATTTGTTGAAAAGATTATTTTCCCCATATTGAATTGCTTTGGCACTTTTATCTAGAATCAATTAATTGTATATGAGTAGGTCTATTTCTGAACTCTATTGTGTTCCATTGTTCTATCCATCTATGCATTGGTGAAAACTATTACGACTTTGTAATAAATCTTGAAATTAGGTAGTATGAATGTTTCAACTTTGTTTTTTCTTAAAATTGTTTTGCTGTTTCTAGTTTGTTTGCTTTTTCTTATAAATTTTAGAATCAGTTTGTCGATTTCTAAAAAAAAATCGTCCTTCAATTATTTTGATTTGGCTTGTGATAAATTTGTTATTTTTTTTTTTTACCTCTTTTTTGTTTTGTTCTGTTCTGATCTTTATGTTTCTTTTCTTCTACTAATTTTGAGTTTGGTTTATTCTTGCTTTTTAAGTTCCTTGAGGTACATTTTTAGATTGCTTATTTATAATATTTCTAGCTTTTTGCTAGAGGCATTTATTGCTATAAACTTTGCTCTTAGCATTTCTTTTGCTGTATTCCTTAGGTTTTGTTATATTGTGTTTCCATTTTTATTTGTTGCAGAAAATTTTTTTTATTTCCGTCTTAATTTCTTCATTGACCCAATAGTGATTCAAGAGCAAGAGCATGTTGTTTAATTTCCAGGTATGTGTATAGTTTCCCAGCTTCCTCTTGGAATTAATTTCTAGTTTCATTCCATTGTGGTCTGAGAAGGTACTTAATATGATTTTGATTTTTAAAAATTTGTCGAATTTGCTTTGTGCATTAACATATGGTCTATATTGGAGAATATTCCATGTGCTGATGAGAAGAATGTGTAATCTGCAGCTGTTGGATAAAATGTTTTGTTGAGATCTGTTAAGTCCATTTAATCTAATGTCTAGTTTAAAACAAATGTTTGTTTGTTGATTTTCTGCCTAGATGACCTGTCTAAAGCTTAGAGTGGGGTATTGAATCCCCCACTATTAATGTATTGGCATTTATCGCTCCCTTTATAGCTAGTAATATTTGCTT